GCATTTGCGTTGCATCGCCTTTAATTGCAGCCGCAGGAGTAGCGCTGCCCCTGACAGCGGATCAAGCCATTCCCTATTACTACGACCTGATATGTTCAAATAAGTAGATGAATCTTAAGGATAAATCAAAAGCTGACTATGGGATGATCCATCCAATGCTGGATTTGGGTTAAAAGAGCCCAAGAGAAGTGGAACACGAGTATTAACAGAGAAAAAGAATAGAAATTTCCCGTCAATGGCTTTCCGAGAGAAATTTACTTCCTTATCTTTTACTTTTTCTTGCCTTGCTTTGCAGACGCTTCTTCCTCATATAGAATATCTTGAAGTCTTGAAATGCGTTTATCATCTACATTTTGATCTTTTTATCTATGAAGAATAAGGAGAATGGCTCAATCCGCCGAGTAGCGCTAGCTCCTCTGCAATTGCAATTAAGAGCGACGCAACGCAAGGGGTCCTCAGGATATACCGCAGGCGAATGCGGCGTAGCTTTGCTCCATAACGCCACGCCGCCTCCTCTAGCTATGGAAATGCCTAAGGTGCTTCTATCTGGCGGTGGGGCAGGAGGGGCGGCGCCGCGTTATGGAGCAAAGCTACGCCGCATTTGTCTCTGGTGTATCCTGAGGGCCTTTTGCGTTGCGTCGCGCCTAATTGCAGTCGCAGAAGAGCTAGCGCTATCGAGCGGATTGAGCTACTGTCCTCACTCTCCATAGATAAAGAGATCAAAATGTGAATGATAAACGCATTTCAAGGGCGAATCAAAAATAGAGTAAGAGGAGGAAAAGTCTGCAAAGCAAGCCAAGAAAAAAGTAAAAGATGAGTAAGTTAATTTCTCTTGGGAACTCGTAGCGGAAAATTTCTTCCTTTTTCTCTACTAGTCTCGTATTCCACTTCTCTTGAACATTTTTAACTCAAATCAAGCATTGAATCATCTCAGATTCAGCTTTTGTTCATCTCTAGAACTCATTTATTTTCTAAATTGCGGTCTTCCTTTTTTCCTTATTGCATCTATACAGTTTCAATATACAAGGTCGTGGTAACAGGGAATGGCTCAGTCCGCTGGCAGGAGCAGCGTTACTCATGCGCAATTAAAAGCAACGCAAATGGCCCTCAGGATATACCGCAGGGAAACGCGGCGTAGCTTTGCTCCATAACGCCTGCCCCCCGGCAGGAGGCACAAATGCCTTCCGCTTCTGCTTGCGGAAGTACTAAGGAGCCTCAGAGTTCCTCGCGCTCCTAATTACTTCTTCTTCACCTTTAGGCCCCGGACAGACTTCACGCGATTTGATCGTCGCGACTGGATCGCGACGAGACAACTGTTACAACATCATTCCACGCCGATCAACTTGCATTTTGGTTGTGATACTCTTCCAGCCGAAATTTTGAATTTGAAATGACAATGAATGAAAATGTCGGCGATTGAGTCGCGACCATCAAATCGCGTGAAGTCTGTCCGGGGCCTTAGGTAGATATCTATTAGATTATGACCAGGCTGAAAGCGATTATAGCTGAGATTGAAAGAAAATGCAAGATTTTCAGCTTGATTTAGAGTAAATACTCTTCAACAATATTCTTGTTTGATTCTTTTGCTTATATGTAAGGTAATCAAGGTGCGAAGAATAATTAGAGGCGCGAGAGAGTCTGGAGCTTTCCATAGGCACTTCCAGAAGTAAACGCGACCAACCTTTGCTACCTCCTGGCTAACGTCCCTTCTACCTAGGATCTCCACTCACTTTCTTCGCACCTCTTATGACAGGCTGTGTACCAGCGAACAAAATTGTATAATCATAAATATTATTTGTAATGTGCAAGTTCTATTATATTATTCTCGAAAATGTCAACAATACGACTTATCTTATTGTTAGTAGCACTACCTACACATCTTTATCTAATAATATGATAGTCGGGCAATAGGCAGCAAAGGCTTTACGGCTTGCGGAATTGTGGACCTTCAGACTTCCTGCGCCTCTAATTCTTCGCACCTCTAATCACCTCTATAACCTATGCCCCATCGTTCATAGACTTTTTCAAATTAGTAGCAAATACATTGATGGGTACTAAAGGCTCATAAAGATCAGCCTCAAACATGAAAGGCGGTATAAACCAGATTTTTGAGTTGATTTGAAAGTACAACTTGGTCTATAAATTCTTCAGGCCGGACATAATTTTTATACATCTTCCTCAATTTTCTCAACGATTTACTCATCTTTATGCCATGAGGTTTGGAGAAAACTGCGCTGAACCCGATGTTTGAGAAAACCGATTGTTTCTGAAACCGAAAGGTAGCTTAGATTAAATGAAATTGCAAGCTTTCCAAATTAGTCCAAAGTGAAGCACTCAAGGATTTCGTATGAGTTTCGTGTTTCTAAACTAATCAAAGGTGCGAAGAGATCGAAAGCTCAAGGTCTGAAGCTTCCACGCACAACAGAAGCAAAGGTGGCCAGGTTCTGCTTCCTCCTGCCTGACGTCCGACTAACACCAAGTGCATTGGAACAAGAAGCAAAGACTGAACAAACTTGACGACTGAGATAATTTCATTTTGATTAGCTTTGCTAATTTTTGAAAACAACTCTTACTAAAGATTCTTTAACTCTATGATTGATTTTCAAATACTACAATACAACGCAATACTACAACCAAATATCTGCAATCATTGACCATGCTCAAACATCCTGACAGACAAAGATTTAAGACTGCTATTTTAGCAATCAGAAGTGCTAAGAATTAATCAATCGCACAAGAAGGTCCAAAGCTTCTCACACTCAGCTACTTCTGCAGATGCGGTTAGCTTTTGCTGCCTTCTTCCCTATCGCAATATTGTATATCTGAACACTTGGCTTGTTTGCATCTCTGATGCAAATTTAGAGGCTGTTGCATGACGAAGGCTCCGAAGCAGTATTAGTTGAGCGGGCGCGAACGCGGCGCGCGCGTATTTTCACCATTCAAATCGTGCACCTCACGCGCTCTGCTGCTAATACCGCGTTCGCGCTTAAAGATATTGCGCCTTCATGCGGCAGCCTATACTTAGCCAAACAAATCTCTGCTTATATTGGACTTCCACTCATTATCAGATGGCACCTTGAAAACGACTAAAGCTGCTTGCTGAACGCAAGCATAGCCAGAAACTAGTACTAGATAATCATTGAGCTCATATTCTTGGATACTTCTAAACGCTTCTGAGACACCTTGATAGGCAATAGTTGTTATGGAGACAAGCTTGCTTTAGAAAGAAAAAGAGGTAAGACATACATGCGGAGTATTCTAGGTAGCGCCATCTCATTATTTTTGAGATAATTTAGCTTGCCTTAGCCTTGACAAACTGAGCGTTTTGGCGTATCTGTTACAAGGTTTTCGCTTTTGTTGATTTTTTCCGCAATTTGAAAGCTGATAATAATGACTGCGTTCTGTTCATATCTCTTCCGTAAGTGAAACATGCGGCATTGACCTCATTAACTTTATTTGCAGACTGCAAAAAAAGTTAATGAGGTCAATGTCATATGTTTCACTTATGTACATTTTTCAAAGAGAAATGTAAATTTTAAGCTTTCCCCCACTGATGAAAATTCTCTGCAAAGCACTTTCGCAGTCATTTTTGTTGGTAGAAATTTCCGTTTCATTACAAGTTAGAACCTGTAACAGTCGCAAAGAGCAGCTCTTCCTTTGATTCAATCACTGAAGACCAACATTGGTTCTCCAATTTTTTGAACAGCCAGTATGGCTAATCCTTACATTCATTTAACAAGGCATTCGTTTATTGTTTGCACTCAAACATCTCTGAAATAGTATTAGTATAGGGATGCCATAAGAATTTTTCTGTGATGCAAATCTTCGCAAGCATTCTTCTTTCGATGAAGAATGGAATATAATCGGATGTGTACCTATAGATCTGAAAATGCACTATTTTCAATCGGAAGTTTCAACCAAGAAAATTGTCAACTAAGGTCTTGAAATACAAAAAACTAGATATGCCTTGTCGATAGCCGAACTCGAATTCTCGTGCCAGATCCCTGAGTAAATTTGTCTGTGATTTGATTTTCTCTCTTTTTTCTTGAAAAAAAAAAAAAAAACATCAGCGTATTTTGTCGAGCAAAATGTAGCTGGTGTTTTTTGAGAATTCCCAAAGCTTATTTCATCTGAATTTCTTCCGTTTTTATTATTCTCAGTTTTATTTTGTACTAAATGAAGAAATGCTTGCATCAACTTTCACCTTGATGTTTAGGGTTTTAACCGACACTAAACCTTTGCATCCAAGATGAAAGAAAATGCTTTGAAAGCGGTCATATTTGATATGGGCGGAGTGCTAATTGATGCGCCGTTTGGATTTTGGAAAGGTAAGTAATTTTCTCCATTAATACAATGTTTAAGTAAACAAAGAAATTGAAAAATCAACATTGCAGATAATCTCCCTACATTTGTTACAATCAGAGGTCGAAAAGATAGGTAGTATGATAGAGTCTCAAATTTCACTATGTTCATTGGATTTTGTATTGCGAAAACAATGTAACGGTCATTAGGAGCTAAAGGCACCATCCACCCAGATTCGCGACTTCCAGGTTTTTGTCGTTTCAGGGCCTTCTCATGCCCCTGATTCCAAGTATGAAGTCGAGAATCCCGAAAATCCCATTCCGGAGAACCCACAGGCCGGATTTACAGAAGGTGATTGAGCGCGCACAAATGGGCGGGCACGGATGGAGAGGGGTGGGCATGGATGGGATCCTCGTGCATCTTCGCTATTCCGAAGCGATTTTCTCGCTTCCGAAGCGGCATTTTGCGCCGCGACTTGAGCATTGGCTTGATAGGAGATCCTACTGTTCTATGTGTCAAAAGCTCAACACCCTCAAGTTAGGGTAGACGGCTTTAAAGGCCAGGTGCTAATTAGGATTAAATACTAAGTTATAATTCTCAGCAATCTCATTCAACACTGGCTTGAGCTTTATATTTTTCTTTTCAAATTGTCAGTACATTCCAATCTCAACGGAATTAAGTACATACGTTTTAATCAGCTATATTTTGAGATCTTGGAGATCGCGTTCGGTTAGATGTCCCATTCCAGCCAAAAGCTGGAAAAGTTCTACGTTTTCGAAAACTGCTCAGTAATTTCCTTGCTTTCCCTTACTCCCCCCCCCCCTCCTTCTCCAAAAAAGGATAGTGAAATTTTGAAAGTGAATTATAAGAGTTTTGAAATTGTGAGATGAATTATTTTACTTTTGAACAAGAAAGACTAAAATTTTTAGAATTCAAAGCTTTGTAAAAATCCCTCACAACCGTGAAAATTTCGAAAATCATCCCGAAATTTTCCACTGGAGTGGCTCATACCACACCGTCCATTTAGAAAAAAAATTTTTGTCTCTACTCTCCTTAAAAAATCTTGAATATTCACTGATGTGTTAATAAAGCTATTGTTTTGACTCACATTGTTTCTGCTCGGGCTGTAGTGAGCGAATAGAAATGTTGCGAGATCTGAGAGTGGGTCCCCAATTGTAGAAGTTTCCCAATCCAGCACGGCAACGACCCTATTTTCGGTAGGATGAAAGACGAGATTGTCAAGCCTGAAAAAAATTTTCCGTTATTGGTAAAGCAGTTTTTCGAAAAGTATTCGAAAATGGCTTTGACAGAAGAGGTATTGTTTTTTGTGCTCAAGAATTTCATCTCTACCTAGAAATCAAAGTTTGCTGAATAGTTAGTGAGAAGATATTTTCAGGGCGCAGTATGCTTTACCAAGAACTGATCCAGTTATTTAAAGGTTTACCGAAAATCTCCATGTACTAGGGTGGCGGTATGATTGTCCTTCGGTAAATTCTTCCCCAAAAACAGCAGCAGATGATTCATTTCTGTTATCTCTTCTGTTTTTGCCATCTCATAGTTTCTTGACCATCGTTGGAGATTCCTTGCCATATATGCGTCTACAAATTTTTTTGCTAGGTGCATACATATCCATATGGACCAGATCAACCTTTTCTGCCATAATTCTCCAGCCCAAGTTTGTAAAAATCAGTTCTATGAAGCTTGACCAGAGTAGTAATTGCTTCTTCGTAGATTTCCTTTCTATCCTTTGGATCCATATCAGATAGGGTTGGATCCATGAATATTCGACCTTTTGTGTATTCCATGATGTAAAATGGTGTGTCAAGGAGGCTAAATAAAAAAGTTTCGATTTCCCAAAAATCGCATTAGTTTTAGAAAATGCGATTTCTGGGAAATCTAACCTATCGTTGTAGACTAGAACTTTTGGAACGGGCAATGTGCCTCGAAGTGCTTTCATTACCACATATTCTCTGTCGATTTGATGCGCTCTTGGTAGTAAGGTGCCGCTCTAAATGGAACAGTTGCATTTTTATACCTCATAAATGTATTAGGGTAGGTTAAAGTACTGTGGCCCCTTCAGATGAAATCAAGATTATGACATTCAATCTGAATGAGTGTTTCTGAATACTTGAAAGGGGGAAATCACGCGCTTGGTTACAGTGCTTGAGCAGCTTCCTGCTGTAAGCACTTGCCAGAGATCGAAGCTCGATAAAATTACCGATTCGGCTTTTATCGGGCTTAAAATGTTAGAATGTTAAGTCAAGTTTCAGAGCAGTCAGTAATATCGATTTGTAAAACCTACCCTATGAAAATTTTGAAAAAGAAGCCGTACACTCTGCAATTTTTTACGCCAACGTACAAACTGAGCATCATTTCTGAGAAATATCCAAAAAATTGAAATAACTCAGATATATGCAATTTACCGGCTTCTTTCTTAGCACGAGCTCCGTATCTCCAGCTTTGATATAATAGGTAGGATTTGACTGTCCATGGCCGAAACGACGAACGATAAATGGATTGCACCCAGCCAAACCCAGTTCCTTTTGGATAAACTTTTGCAACTTTTCCTCTGGTAGTCTTTCCTCTGAAAGTACTCTCCCTCTGCTACCAAGAATTACATTGTATAGTATTTTTTCCCGTACTTGGCAAACAATCCCTAGTGTTTGGCGGAAATTCGAAAAGATCTGCCAGTTTGCTCCTTACTTCTTCAGTAGCTTGCAGGGGAGATGTGACCTACAAATCGGAAATTGTTAAATTTGGTATTACAGACTGTCGCCATACTTTAATAGTGAAGATGCCGATGGCCCTGGCAGCTTTGACATTCGCACCCAAATCATCGAGTAGCACACACTCTTCTGGTTTGACCTAAATTTGTAGGCAAATCGGAAAAATAAGGAAAAAAGTGGTTTTTGCCAAGTCAAAGATTTTACCTTCAAGAGATTGCACACGTGATTGTATACAGCATATTCTGGCTTTCGCATACCAGTCCTACACGATTCTACAACTACGTCGAAATATTTCTCGATGCCTCTCGGAATCGTTGGGGAAAGGCGGGCTCGGTCAGCATAGAAATTATTTGTGAGCAAGGCTGTTTTGATTCCAACTGAGCGCAAGTCCTGAAATCAAATGTTGCGTTTTGTTTATCTGATTTACTACAGCTAACTCTTAGCAGAGAAGCCATCTCCGGTAAAATCTTCTTGTTGTGGATCCCATTGATAACAGAAGAAATGATCGGGATAAGATTCTCCGTGCGGTTGTGCTGAAAGAGATGCATTCAATAAGGATTCCAATCAAAATATTTTCAAACCTTTTACCTGTTTGTTAAAGAAATGAGTGAACAATGGGTCAAAATCCTCCGCTGTGGTCTCTCCTCGCTCTAGCGCTTCGAAATGCTCTTTGATAGGAGATTTGAATAGTGTAGAAACAAGCGAACCCCCATCGAACGTTCGATTTGTCTCCATATCTCAAAAAATATAGCTGATTAAAAACGTATGTACTTAATTCCGTTGAGATTGGAATGTACTGACAATTTGAAAAGAAAAATATAAAGCTCAAGCCAGTGTTGAATGAGATTGCTGAGAATTATAACTTAGTATTTAATCCTAATTAGCACCTGGCCTTTAAAGGCACCGTCTACCCTAACTTGAGGGTGTTGAGCTTTTGACACATAGAACAGTAGGATCTCCTATCAAGCCAATGCTCAAGTCGCGGCGCAAAATGCCGCTTCGGAAGCGAGAAAATCGCTTCGGAATAGCGAAGATGCACGAGGATCCCATCCATGCCCACCCCTCTCCATCCGTGCCCGCCCATTTGTGCGCGCTCATCCAATCACCTTCTGTAAATCCGGCCTGTGGGTTCTCCGGAATGGGATTTTCGGGATTCTCGACTTCATACTTGGAATCAGGGGCATGAGAAGGCCCTGAAACGACAAAAACCTGGAAGTCGCGAATCTGGGTGGATGGTGCCTTTAGCTCCTAATGACCGTTACATTGTTTTCGCAATACAAAATCCAATGAACATAGTGAAATTTGAGACTCTATCATACTACCTATCTTTTCGACCTCTGATTGTAACAAATGTAGGGAGATTATCTGCAATGTTGATTTTTCAATTTCTTTGTTTACTTAAACATTGTATTAATGGAGAAAATTACTTACCTTTCCAAAATCCAAACGGCGCATCAATTAGCACTCCGCCCATATCAAATATGACCGCTTTCAAAGCATTTTCTTTCATCTTGGATGCAAAGGTTTAGTGTCGGTTAAAACCCTAAACATCAAGGTGAAAGTTGATGCAAGCATTTCTTCATTTAGTACAAAATAAAACTGAGAATAATAAAAACGGAAGAAATTCAGATGAAATAAGCTTTGGGAATTCTCAAAAAACACCAGCTACATTTTGCTCGACAAAATACGCTGATGTTTTTTTTTTTTTTTTCAAAGAAAAAAGAGAGAGAAAATCAAATCACAGACAAATTTACTCAGGGATCTGGCACGAGAATTCGAGTTCGGCTATCGACAAGGCATATCTAGTTTTTTGTATTTCAAGACCTTAGTTGACAATTTTCTTGGTTGAAACTTCCGATTGAAAATAGTGCATTTTCAGATCTATAGGTACACATCCGATTATATTCCATTCTTCATCGAAAGAAGAATGCTTGCGAAGATTTGCATCACAGAAAAATTCTTATGGCATCCCTATACTAATACTATTTCAGAGATGTTTGAGTGCAAACAATAAACGAATGCCTTGTTAAATGAATGTAAGGATTAGCCATACTGGCTGTTCAAAAAATTGGAGAACCAATGTTGGTCTTCAGTGATTGAATCAAAGGAAGAGCTGCTCTTTGCGACTGTTACAGGTTCTAACTTGTAATGAAACGGAAATTTCTACCAACAAAAATGACTGCGAAAGTGCTTTGCAGAGAATTTTCATCAGTGGGGGAAAGCTTAAAATTTACATTTCTCTTTGAAAAATGTACATAAGTGAAACATATGACATTGACCTCATTAACTTTTTTTGCAGTCTGCAAATAAAGTTAATGAGGTCAATGCCGCATGTTTCACTTACGGAAGAGATATGAACAGAACGCAGTCATTTTATCAGCTTTCAAATTGCGGAAAAAATCAACAAAAGCGAAAACCTTGTAACAGATACGCCAAAACGCTCAGTTTGTCAAGGCAAGCTAAATTATCTCAAAAATAATGAGATGGCGCTACCTAGAATACTCCGCATGTATGTCTTACCTCTTTTTCTTTCTAAAGCAAGCTTGTCTCCATAACAACTATTGCCTATCAAGGTGTCTCAGAAGCGTTTAGAAGTATCCAAGAATATGAGCTCAATGATTATCTAGTACTAGTTTCTGGCTATGCTTGCGTTCAGCAAGCAGCTTTAGTCGTTTTCAAGGTGCCATCTGATAATGAGTGGAAGTCCAATATAAGCAGAGATTTGTTTGGCTAAGTATAGGCTGCCGCATGAAGGCGCAATATCTTTAAGCGCGAACGCGGTATTAGCAGCAGAGCGCGTGAGGTGCACGATTTGAATGGTGAAAATACGCGCGCGCCGCGTTCGCGCCCGCTCAACTAATACTGCTTCGGAGCCTTCGTCATGCAACAGCCTCTAAATTTGCATCAGAGATGCAAACAAGCCAAGTGTTCAGATATACAATATTGCGATAGGGAAGAAGGCAGCAAAAGCTAACCGCATCTGCAGAAGTAGCTGAGTGTGAGAAGCTTTGGACCTTCTTGTGCGATTGATTAATTCTTAGCACTTCTGATTGCTAAAATAGCAGTCTTAAATCTTTGTCTGTCAGGATGTTTGAGCATGGTCAATGATTGCAGATATTTGGTTGTAGTATTGCGTTGTATTGTAGTATTTGAAAATCAATCATAGAGTTAAAGAATCTTTAGTAAGAGTTGTTTTCAAAAATTAGCAAAGCTAATCAAAATGAAATTATCTCAGTCGTCAAGTTTGTTCAGTCTTTGCTTCTTGTTCCAATGCACTTGGTGTTAGTCGGACGTCAGGCAGGAGGAAGCAGAACCTGGCCACCTTTGCTTCTGTTGTGCGTGGAAGCTTCAGACCTTGAGCTTTCGATCTCTTCGCACCTTTGATTAGTTTAGAAACACGAAACTCATACGAAATCCTTGAGTGCTTCACTTTGGACTAATTTGGAAAGCTTGCAATTTCATTTAATCTAAGCTACCTTTCGGTTTCAGAAACAATCGGTTTTCTCAAACATCGGGTTCAGCGCAGTTTTCTCCAAACCTCATGGCATAAAGATGAGTAAATCGTTGAGAAAATTGAGGAAGATGTATAAAAATTATGTCCGGCCTGAAGAATTTATAGACCAAGTTGTACTTTCAAATCAACTCAAAAATCTGGTTTATACCGCCTTTCATGTTTGAGGCTGATCTTTATGAGCCTTTAGTACCCATCAATGTATTTGCTACTAATTTGAAAAAGTCTATGAACGATGGGGCATAGGTTATAGAGGTGATTAGAGGTGCGAAGAATTAGAGGCGCAGGAAGTCTGAAGGTCCACAATTCCGCAAGCCGTAAAGCCTTTGCTGCCTATTGCCCGACTATCATATTATTAGATAAAGATGTGTAGGTAGTGCTACTAACAATAAGATAAGTCGTATTGTTGACATTTTCGAGAATAATATAATAGAACTTGCACATTACAAATAATATTTATGATTATACAATTTTGTTCGCTGGTACACAGCCTGTCATAAGAGGTGCGAAGAAAGTGAGTGGAGATCCTAGGTAGAAGGGACGTTAGCCAGGAGGTAGCAAAGGTTGGTCGCGTTTACTTCTGGAAGTGCCTATGGAAAGCTCCAGACTCTCTCGCGCCTCTAATTATTCTTCGCACCTTGATTACCTTACATATAAGCAAAAGAATCAAACAAGAATATTGTTGAAGAGTATTTACTCTAAATCAAGCTGAAAATCTTGCATTTTCTTTCAATCTCAGCTATAATCGCTTTCAGCCTGGTCATAATCTAATAGATATCTACCTAAGGCCCCGGACAGACTTCACGCGATTTGATGGTCGCGACTCAATCG